ACCTTGTGTAAAATTGATAGCTTCTCCTTAAATATCAACAATGGATTGTATTTCATTTTCATATCCAATATGGAAACATTTATGGATGCCTTGTGGTACTAAGTATTTACCAAGTGACCACTTAATTTTAGATTCAATGTTTGTATTACAAAGAAAAAAAAGCAAGAGAAGGAATACTTGGATTTTATGCTCCAAAAGTAATAAGAGTGAGAGTAGCACTTTTGGACTAACGAAAATATCCAAACCAAATAACACTTGAGATTCATAAATTGTCCTTGAAAGCCAAGATATCAACAAAAAGTAGTGATCACAAGAATAATAAGATAAGTGGTTGCATTTGAAATGTTGGAAATGAGTTGAGACTACATTCTCGAAATAAGTACTATAAATAGAGAATGTTATTATTGTAGATTTGCATGTTTTGCAAAGGTGATACATACTTGTATGACATTTCTCCAAAAAAACCATAAATAATATCTAAAGAGTTTTGAGAAAAAACTTATCTTTCACATTTGTAGTTTCCAAGTATCATGTATGTTGTATTTATATAGTTTCCTATACGAGCCACAATTTTCAAGATTGTGAATAAAAGTAGTAAGCCATTGTTTTTTAGGAGAACAATTCCTTGGAAAGCAATATCTAAAGCAAACTGTTGATATTTATCATTGCATTTCCAAGTGATGAATATGGTTAAGTGTTTAGATTGCCATTGAATAATCTAAGCCACATTTTGGTTGTAATGAGATTGGATATTATATGGTTAAAGTTAACCTTGGTGATATTTCCAATTTGAAGTGTTGACTTCTCATGATTGTCAAGAAAGAGTTTTGAACTTATTAATTTAAAATAATCTTGGTAAAACTTTAGAAGTTGGTCCCAAAATTAATATTGAAACTTGCAACAATTCTAATTATCAAATTTTTACCTATAACATGGAATCAACAACTGCATCTTTGACTAAGGGAGTATATGTTGCACCCTTCAAAAAAAGTGAAAGAACATCATAATCAGAAACTATATATTTAACAAGAAGTAAAAGAATGATTTTTCTCAAGGAGAGAAATGAATAAATTTATTGCATCCCCACCTATTTTATATTATATCTGTGAGCAAATTTTGATTAGCACAAGTTAAGAAACTATTCACTTGGTTGTAAAAGCACATCACACTGCTCACTTAGCCATCTTAAATGTAACTTTGGAAAAATAGGTTATAAGAGTTAATCAAGTTTTATTCACTCATCTATGAAAAACTTACGAGTGAAAGCATTTCACTCACTACATATTGAAAAACAAAGAAAAGAAGCTGAAAGGAAGAGAAAGAAGTTGAAATTATACCTTTGCATTGAAGTAATTATAAACTCTTAAATTTGAAATTCCCGGGAAATTACCTAACCGAGAGACATTTAACCCCAAATATCCCAAGACCTTTAACCGATTGGAAAAATAAGTGCATTTGGAAAATAAGATGTATTTTTATTCATGAGCCCTTTCCCTCTATATTTGACATCTTTCAAGTTGTTTTCTTTAATTGTTTATAGTAATATCAATCCATTTATGGATAAGCTTGTGGTTTTGTAACTATAGACAAAATTCTAGAACATGACACAAAACTTTACATCTCTAATCAAGTAAAAAAGTGTGGAGTTGAATGAAACTACAGTGAGTATCAACAATGGAAAAATTGTAGTAACTAGAGTAAAATTGCCAAACTCTAGTGAGTAAGAATTTTTCTCTTGTCTTTTTCATGGCAGGGTGACACTATGCGATTCAGATGAAGCATCCTCGGAAAGCCCAGGTAAACACAGTGAATTTCCACTTGCGTTGCAAGAATGCCTTGATTATAAGCACATCTCGCTGTTTTTCTTCAGGACTAGTACTTGTGATCTTACAAATTGCAATTAAAGTACTTCGATTTAGTCGGGTATAGTTGCCGCAAAACATCCTCCTCTGCTGCCGCAGTGCAACTGGCCAAGCAGCACAAACATTCATTCCCAAACACTGATTAGTTTACTCGTTTTGAAACATTACCAGATAGATAGTGTGGTGCTGGATTCAGGGGAGGTGCTCGTAACAATCACGAAAGTTCCAGTTTGACTCCAAACATCTCCCGTGTGATCTTCCACTTGCAAGCGATGTCTTGTTCTTCATGTATCAATCAAATGGAAGGGAAGTTGCTACCTCCAAAACTCGTTTGTTTCTTCTACAACAGTGTCGATACGATATGCGGAGTAAAAAAGGAAGCAATCCAAAAAGAGGATGTCCGTAAGATCACTACAGCTTAACCTCAATCTCGCAACTTGGCTCGGTGGTCTCTTCATGGAGGAATCCATGGCAGAAAGAGAAGGATCGTCAAGTCCGAGCTTTTGCAAACGAGGGAGCGATCGAGCGAAACGACGGCTGCCGCACACTGTGGATTGATCGATAAGTCTCTAGCTGGAGACACGGAGAATCCACCGAGCATCTCGACAGGAACTTTCATGATCATCATCACGCGCTTCAAGCACGGCCTAGCTTAACATCAACGACTTTGGGCTTGGCAAAGTTCTTTATGTCTCTCTCTCTCTCTCTCTCTCTCTCTCTCTCTCTCTCTCTCTCTTGCTGCTTGCTCGTGGATTTTTTAACGAATTTCTTCGTCTTCCGTGTGCTGCCGGGCTTGAGGAAATCTGTCCGAGAAACTGGGCATGTATCTTGTTTCCAGTTTGGGTTGCTTCGGACGACTTTCGTGCCGGTCGCCAGAGGAAAAAGAATTGTCATGGAAAAAACAATGGAACCTGTAAGCGCTCTGGACAACACGTTAGCTCGTCACATCCTTGGCAAAAAGCTTAGACTTTGCTGGATGATCCGCGGCCTTGATCTCAGGCTAATGCCGTGTCAGCGAGAGGAATTTAAAGACTTTTCCAGTCGACAAGAAGTGGTGGAGTGATCGGGCAGTGATCCATCGACTTCATCCCCGAGAAGGGCAAGCCAGTGAGCTTAAGCTGGGTTTAAGTTCTCTGTAGCGTGTCTTTGCCAAGTCAAATCCATCCTTCCTGAGCTCCTGAGAGGTGCATAGAGCATGAAGAACGAGCGAAAGAAAACCTGCGTTGTCACCTTTCCAGTGTGTTGGGTGTGATCGTAAGGTGCCATTTGCCAATACATGATCGTCCAAGAGAAAAATTCTCTCAGCGTTTCTCCAGGCTGAAAGACAAATCAATAACAAAACAGGAAGATGAACTACTATCAGCACTCACCAAAAGTGTTTGTTGGGAATCAGCCATGCCCAGCCGGATCGATCTTTAATTTCCGTGCTTTCTGTGTCAGCTTTCTGCCTTCGCCCCTAAGAATAGCAGCTGCCTCTTCACAGTGACTCCACTGCATCCTACAAAAGGAAGCCGACAAGTTTTCTTACATCCTTCTTTTTTACTACCTCGTCGTCGTCCTCTTCGTCTTTTCCTTTATTAATCGATCCAGCATCACTGTTGTCACCATCAGTTTCGCCTTTCTCCTTACTAGCTTCTATCCACGCGCTTTGTGTTTCCTGCTTGAGACATTAGTATGAGGCTGGATGATGGCTCGATCATACTAACCTCAATAATGCACTTCCACACATCGAAGGTCCAGCGAGGAAAGGTCGTCGTGTCACTTTTTTTTTGCCGACTTCTTTCATACCTCCATACAGAAACAAAGTATCCTTTCCAACGACCATTCCAGCATTCATTCTTCCACAAGGCAACAACCTTCAAGCAGAACGCTCAACGTTGAGACGCATTTTCCACATTTGGATCAACCACTTTCTTCTGCTTTGGATGCACACTTAACCACTACACAATCTCAGATTACCATACCTTAATCTTTAGGCTCTTTGGCTTGAGAAGCTCCAAAGGATACCTGCGAGCGATGGTGTTTAGATAATTTTAAAAAAATCGACGAGATACAAACCATCTGGAAAGCATATACATCTCGATCATAAAAACGCTGTGCAGGGAATCACCTGCAAAAGCCATTAGTTTTTCCAACGCATGCATTGAAACCGTACTCATCAGCATCAACTACACCACCAAACAAGATGTGGACAAAAATCCTGCTCTTGGCCAGGAGCCATACCGGATTTTTTCACCTTCACAAAACACATTGAAAAACTAAAACTCCATACGAGAATGTAAAACAAGCAAACCTTGTCCCACTCCCAATCCGTGGATCTAACGTCCACATATCTGCGAGCACTACACCTTTGTCGGATTGATCTTTGTCAGGGGCAGGCTCTTTGAAATAGCCACCGTACAAGAAAATCTAGAAAAGAAAAAATGTTCACAACACGCAAAACTATACTTTTAGTAGACAAATACCTCATCTAAATAAACAGCAAGCTGAGAACCAGTTCCAGCTGAAGGCCAGGCAGCTCCAAGCTTGGGTTTTATCTCTTGCCACTGCAAAAGGAAATCAGTTTAGTTGTTAAAAAACAAGGAAACAGAAACAAACCTTATAATCGTCTAAATCCAGCACTTAAAGATTATTGAAGTACCTGTGTCAAAAATTCAATATTAAACATCTACACTGCAGAAACAGCCGACCTTACTTCCCTCAGCGTGTCATAAAATCCACCAAATAGAATAAGTTTATGTTTCTGTGGCAAGAAAGAAAAAAATAAAGATTATGTTTAGAAGCGCAATACATACAAATCTATGTCCGGAACGAGCACCTGGACAGCCTTTTAGTTGGAGCTGCTCCCGCCACACATTTGTGTTTAAATCCAGTCTCCATAAATCCTGCAAGAACTCTCTTGTAAGTCAGCTAGAAACACACCTTATAGTGATGAAACCGAATTCACCACCTACACTGCCAAAATCAAGAGAAGTCCTGGAAAAATACATCATACCAAAACTGAAGAGCCAGTTTTTCCACGCAACCCCCTGGTGAGCGCTTCTCGGGGAGGAGAGTTTGGACTGGTGACAGGCTTCCACTCGTTCTTCTCGATGTTGTCTTGGTCGAGATCATCACCATAAACGTAAAGTCTAGCATAGCAAACACGAAGATCAAATCACCGTAGCGAAACTAACCACAAACCTTGTCACCATTGTTGGTATTCACCTCCATGGACGATCAGCGCAGTGTCCTTGACGGGATTTACAGTCACCTGAAACGCAAGGAAAGAAGAATTCTAGAGAATGTGAGCTTCCAGAGTGGAGATTTCAATCGAGTTCTTACGCACAGAGCAATTGCATTGTGGTGAAGGAGCTGCTACATTCTCATCGACATGAATTTCGCTCTTCTTTGCTTTCTCCTCGTGGAGTTTAGCCTGACAAGAAGGAAAACGATTGAGAGTCTTTGGCCAGAGCTTTGCTTACCAAGATCGCATCCATATCATCCTCGTCCCACACCTTCTTCTCGTCGCGATGAGCTCGCTTCTCCGCCGCCTTGGCCGTCTTGCTCGAAGAACCCTAAAACCTAAATTAACTCTTGCTTGTACTGTCCGCTTGTACGATGGCTTTGCTTCCACAGCTGGCATATGCTTTGCTTCCACTTTCTTAGTGCTTTGCTTCCACAGCTGGCATATGCTTTGCTTTTCTTCCACAGCTGGCATACTTTCTTTAGTGCTTTGCTTCCACTGCTGGCAAGGTTCACTTTTACAAGTTTACTCGTGCTCTCCACTGCCCCTTCGATCCAGGGCAAACTTCCATGGAGGAGGAGCGACGAGAGTGGATCGCCTGTCATTCTGTCAAGGAGATCAAGGAGACTCTCGCAGCGAAGCGGGACAACAAGCGGCACTTCAATGCGATTCGGTTTTATTGTGGGAAGCTGGAGGCGCTTCGCTCATCCAAAGGTGAGTTTGTTGATGAGGTGAGTGCTACCGTCGACAGGTTTGGAGGCACAGAGGAGGATCTGCTTGGTGTGCTCAACTGGTGCATTTCACATCCACCCAGTTTAGACAGGGCGCTGGTGATGGCAGTTCGTCTGCTGCTCACATTGACATTCTCAAGGCCGCTTTGGTACCACAGCTCGACATCAGATTCATCCACTTCGCTGCCAGGGTCGCTTGTAGGTTGGGCATTCCCAGTGATCGAATGCAAAGGGTGGCAGAGGGCATTGCTCCTCCTCAGCAGGGACAGGATATTTGGCAGATTGAGATGCAGAGGTTTGCAAAGCTACTGACGATGACAGA